ACTGCCGCTCTCGTCCCAGGGGTGCTGCAGGAAGGATGTGGCCAGGAAGGTCTCGTCGAAGTCCAGGCTGTCGGCAGCCTGCTCCACCGAAGGCCCCCAGGTGGCGGGGCAGTCGATGTGGCGACCGTGGATGGTGAGGTCCACGTCCACGTGTGAGGCGGGGCTCAGAGGTGGGCTCAGCTCCAGGGCCTCCAGCGCACCCAGCTCCCCGCCCAGAGTGCCGGTGTCGAAGATGGCCTCCCAGTCAAAGTTGCCTTTGAGGGGTTCCAGCTCACCCTGCTCCTCCGGGGTGGGCAGCAGGGTGCTGGGGGGCCGCGGGACCTTGGCTACCCGCTTGGGCAGCGGCTGTTTGCGCTTATGCCCCAGCCTGCCCTCGCCTGCACCCCAGCCTGCCTCCCCGGTGGCCTCCTCGAACTCCCGCAGTAGCTGCTGGGCCTCGGTGTTCACCGTCAGCAGCCCGGCCCGGGGGACAGCGCTGGGCTCCTGCGCAGCCTGGCGGGCAAAGGCTGGGTGGATGTGGACAGGGGGCAGCCGCCGCTTCTTGAAAGCCCCGCTCAGCAGCCGCTCCGCGTACTGGGGGTCGATGCGCCAGAAGCCGCCCTTGCCTGGTTCGTCCTTCTCCCGAGGCACTTTGATGAAGCACTTGTTCAGAGACAGATTGTGGCGGATTGAATTCTGGGTGCAGGGAGAGAGTGAGAGAGAGAGGAACCGCTGGGTCAGTGGGGATGGGGAGACGAAGTGGCACCTGGTGCTCCTGCACGCCCCCCATCTTTTCTCTGGCAGGGGAGAGGAGGTGGGGACAGACACGCTGCTCTGCCCAGGCGGCTGCGGCTCTGGGACACCAGCCACAGGGCACTGGAAGCCCGGAGTGCTGTCGGGGGCTTTTGTTCCCTGTTGCCGGGATATCTGCCTGCTCAGTCATCCGAGCTCTGAGCTGCAGGGTGGCTCTCGGTGCCACCCCCGTCGCCTACCCTCCCTCCCTCACCCTGCCGCTCACAGCCTCTGGCCAAAGCCCTTGGCTCCCCCAGGGCCTGGACCACCATCTCCCTTTGCCTGGGCCTGGCTGGCCCTCTGTGTGAGTGAGTGGGTCCAGGGAGGGGGCTGGGCAGCCGAGGATGGAGAGGTGGGGGAGAGAGCGAGCGAGTGAGCGAGTGAGCAGGGATGAGGAGTGGGGGATCTGATGACTTTTCTTGTTTGTTGAGCCGGCTGCTGGCCTGGGCCTTCACCCCCCACGGCCCCCTCCCCCCACTCCAGGCTCAGTTGATTATTACCCAGCCAAGAGCTAAGAGCATAGCACTCATTCCTTGGGCCTGTTTCCCAAAGCCAAGCTGCACAGGCTTAGGGTAGGGTGGGGCTGAGGGTCTCTGCTTTTTCGGTGCAGCTACAAATGACACTGCTCTAGGGTCAGGGGCATTGGAAATGGCTTGGGACTGTGGTCCTGTGGCCTGCCTGCTTTGGGTGCTTCAGGGAAGAGTCTGGATGTCCTTGGAGGGGCTCTGCCTCCAGCTAGCCCTTGATGGTGATGGCTAAAGACTCTTAGGGCACTGTCTACCCAGCCTCAAATCCACCATCCTCCTGCCTTGTCTATTCTTAGGTGCTTAATCGTGTCCAAAGATTGCTGGGGGACAGGGGTCCTGAGCTGGCACGGCAGGGCAGATGGGTGGATAGTGCCCCGCAGCAAGGCTGGGATGTTTACATGGTGGCCTGGGCCCCTTGGCTGCTCAGTGCCTGGTTCTGGAGACGTGGAACATGATGCCAGTGTGGTAGGCAGAGCCCCTGTGGAAGGCACCTGGCTCAGGTAATTGTCCCCCCAGGGAGGTTGGCTGAGAGCGGGGGTTGGAGGCAGGAAACTGAGCAGAGGTTGAGGTGGGGGGCTGGGACAGCAGCTTTAGGAAGGCCCCTTACTCCGTTCACCGTCCACTGGGACACATGCTACAGCACCCCTTCCATTTCACCCTCCCCAAGCCAACTGCAAAAGGGCAGGACGTAGAGCCTGGCAGGCAGGCCACGTTCCAGTTTCCGTTTCTGACTCCCCGCCCGACAAACCATCCCGGGGCAGGGCAGTGTCTAGGAATTCCAGGACTTGGGACAAGAATGTGCCTTCAGTTCATCGCTCTCCCCAAGGAGACTCTGTCCACGCAGAGTCTAGCCGTGGTCTTTGGCCTGGGCCTGCTGGATGAATGGCAGGTGCTTGCCCCTTGAATCTCAGCCTCTGCACCCCTAATGCCCTCCACCTCTAGACATTCTCCCTTCTCTCTCTCTCTGGAAGTCAAAGGAGGGGCAGTTGCAAGAACTGGGCTCCTTTGCAGTGCTCCCTTCTGGCCGCACCGAGCCTACTTGGCCTGAAGATCTGGGATATGAATCCAGTGCGGTGTGGGGAGCGAGGAGGGAATGGGGAGGGAGCCGCCGCCGCCCGTGCCTACTCTACCTGCCAGGTGGGATCTGCGTGGCGGAAGTAGCAGAAGTTGTCCGTGATCCACTTGTAGATGGCCGACAGGGTGATCTTGGTGGCCTTGCTGGCCTGCATGGCCATGCAGATGAGCGTGGCATACGAGTAGGGAGGCTTCACGTGAGGGTTGGTGGCGTAGTCCACGTCGTCGGGGGGCGGGGCCTGCAGCCCCGGGGGCGCGCTCCGCGACGTGCACGACGACGTGGGCTTGCCCGGCGTGTGTGGCTGCCCCAGGCAGGCGGGGTCGGCCGCCAGGGGGGACCCGGGCGCCGCCGAACCTGGCACCTGGTGGTAGCCGTGGGTGTCGGTGCCCCCCGGGGGCAGGGCGGGGGCCTTGGCGTTGAGAATGGAGAATTCCTGCAGCCACTGCAGGCTGGTCAGGCTGTCATCCAGGGCGTCGGGCTCCTCCAGGCCGCCCTCCGGCCCGGCCTCCTCCGCCGGCCCAGCTCCCGAGAGGCGCAGCCAGCTCTCCGCCATGTCTGCGGGGACTCTCCGAGGGGGCGGTCAGCATCCACGGGCTGAGCCGGGGGTGGCCCGCCGCGCTCTCTTGCCCGCTGAGTCCCGCAGCTCCGGTTACACGGCCTCCCGGACGCGCGCTTCCATCTCGCGACCCCGGGGGCGCCTCCTCCGAATAAGTATGTGGTGCCTGCGAGGACCACGGCGGGAACTGAGCACTACCCCACCCCCGAGGGGACAGTGTGTGTACGGGGACGCCTCTTCTAACATCATCCCCGCAGCTGGGGAGGATCTTTTAATGCCGAGGTCTGGGAAACAGAAGCAAGGCCCTGGGGTCCCACCCCACCAGATCCGCCTCCCTCTTCCTTTCCTCTTTGAGGTTTTATTAGCCAAATAAAGGAAGAGGGTAGGGGCATCCGAGGCTATCCTTTTCTCTCGAAGAGCAGGAAATCAGGACCCCCTTCCTCCCCGCAACAAATGGAAATGGGGCGAGAAGTCTGGGAGGGCAGTACGACGGGGCGGGGGCGGAGCAGGTCCTTTGATCCTTGAAAAGGAATATTATGATAGGGGATCATCGGGAAGGAAGAGGACGGAACAGTTATGCGGGGCAGGAGGCGAGTCTCCCCCAGACTTCTCCGATGTCAGTCCCTGGTCCCACCACTTCCGTCAAGGACGAATGAGAGCGGGCTGGTACCGTCGCCCACCCTCCCCCTGTCCTGCAGTCCCCCTGCCCCGTCCCTTACCTGGCTCAGAGCGCAGCTGGGGCCAGAGGAAGGTTCTGGAAGAAGTTCCTCCCACCCCCTGCGGCTCTCTGCCCCCAGCTCGGGGGCCCTGCCAGCGACTCTTGCCGCCCCCCCGCCCGACGGCGCTTCTCTGAGCTACCGCGGCCCCCGGACCGGCATTAAGTAGCCGCTCCAAAGGCTTCTCCCGCTGCCATGGCGACGCTCCGCCCCCATAAACAGCTTCCGCCGCTGCTATTGGTCAGTACGTCTCCAAGGAGACCGCGGGCACTTGCCACTCTCTCTGGCGGCAACTCTCTTCGAACTCCCTCCTTCTGCCGCCCTCTCCCGCGCCACCCAACCCCCTACCCGCCGCTACGTCCCGGCTCGGCTCATTCCCGCCCGAGGGCCCCGCGCTGGGGTCGGAAAAGCGCGCGGCCCGCGGCACCGGGAACCGCTATGGATCCGTTCGTCCTGGGGAACTACGACTCTCGCCCCCACCCCCTTTCTGTCCCGGTCGCTCTGAGGCGTCGACTGCTCCTGGGACGGAGCCTGCGGTTGGGGGGCTAAGGCTGGGAGCGGACTCAGGCTCGGGAACCGTATCCTTGAGATTTTCTTTCCTCTCCGCTACGAGTGGCGCTTTCTCAAGTTTCCGCAGCCTTTCCCTCTCCCCTGACTCTTAGGGTCTTTCTCTGGTGCCCCAGGCAGGTCTGATTTTCCGATGCCACCTGCCGCTTACATCCACAGAGGCGGCAGACACACCCAGGAGGCAGGGTAATCCAGTGTGTCCCAGTAAGCAGCTCTTTCCCCACCCGTATCGTCGAGGTTCCAGGAAGCTGACATTCCAGAGGCTTCCGCAGAAGCGCACTCACTCCTTTTGGAGAGAGCTGATGAAGCAGAGCCCGTGGGTAAAACTCTGCAGTCACGGACTTGTCAAATTCTCCTAGCGGGGTCATTTGCCCAATTAATTTCACCAACCTTTAAGTGACAGGGATTAAGAGTACAGGGACTCTGGGGACTGTGGCCCTTCCTCCTCCCTTCCCCTGGCCTCCCTCCTGTCACCAGCTTTCCTGCTCTTTAATTATTGAGGAGCTGCAGGGTTGGACGTTCTCCGGTTTAAGGCGGCTGCAGAGGCAGTGGTGGGGGCTGGGTTGCTTACCTAGCCTCTGCCCAGGAGCTGGAGAGCTGGGGTCGGGAAGCCTGGTGCTCAGGCCATGAAGAAAGCCCCGCAATGGCCCATCACTCCCCCGCCAACGTGCCTTTCCCTAGCCCTTGCCTCTCCCACTCCTCCAACTCCAGATCCTCTTGAGTAAAAATATTAAAGAGTGCTGGAGAAAGACAAACTTTCACAGATAAGCTCACTTTGCAGTTAGCTCTCCTTCCCTTGTAAACAGTTTTATTCATTTTTAAGAATCATGCAGCAATCCATAAATATTGCATTCTTGATGTCCCCACTGTAGTGTGCCACAAGTGTACTCCAGGGAGAGGGGTACACAGATGGCACAAGCAGTATACACATGCACACACCAGGTGTGCAGACCAAAGCAAAGTGAGTGACCAGCGTGCCAACTCCAGGTGGGCAGGATCCTAACTCTCCAGGTGAGACGGCTTAGAGTGTGGGGGGTCTATGCCTAGGAGATGCCTCAGCGGGGGTAGAAACTCTGGTGGGATGGAACTGGGCAGAAGGAAAAAAGGGCTCTGTGAGGAACACACTACTAAAGAGAGTACAGGCCTAGTGCAGCAGGAAGGAGCCCTGGGTCTCCATAGTTACGCTGTGCCCTGTGGGAGAAGCCAGGTCCACCTCTTCTCTTTGGGTAAACTGTTGACGTGACTATGTGACTGTCTCCAGATGAAGGACTGGGGCAAAAGAGTTGGCCACTGACCTGTCCTCATCAGGCTGACTGAGGACCAACTCCTTGGATGAAGTATTTCTGTGGGCCACAGAGCTAAATGACAGCCAAGAGAAGGCAGGGGGACAGAGGAAGAGGAGAAATAGTTACTGAGAAACAAGTAAAGGACATTTCTAACCTAGGTATGCCTTGGACATGGGGCTGAGGCCTTGAGGAATCTTTCTGTGCTTCTCCCTAGGAGAGGACTGAGCACCTGCTGAGGAAGGACACGGATCCTCCAGGAAGGGGGTCCTGGCCACTGCGGTTACTGTTTACCTCAATCTCCTTCATCTCAGCTCCTTCCTCCCTCCTCCCAGGTAACACCACACTGTGAATACTACCTGCAGGGGACAGGACAGGAGGTGGTCTGTGTGCCACCACCCCAGGGTAAGGGAAGCTCCCTGTCACCTGCTGCTTCTGGGCTCATATTTCAGGGAAATCAGGAAGTGGGGTTATTGCTCAGCTTATGCATCTCAACTATGAAAGGGGCGGGAAGAATGTAGGGGGAAGGAAAGGACATTAGGTGGGGCCTGAAATGGTAAAGTCTACTGCAGTATTTCAGAGAGGGTGGAGGACGCGCTCCACTCTATCAGGGCAGGATGTAAGCCACAATCACTAGGCAGTGAGACTGTCACTGCACTCCTGGCCTCTGCAGCCACACAGGAGCAAAGGACCCCCTGGGCGCCAGGCTCTTTTTGAGGCTATCTGCCTTGGAAACACCTTGACATTTTTTTTTTTTTAAAGACAGTTTCGATCTTTTTGATCTTGTTACCCAGGCTGGAGTGTAGTGGCGCGATCTCGGCTCACCGCAACCTCCGCCTCCTGAGTTCAAACGATTCTCCTGCCTCAGCCTCCCAAGTATTTGGGATTACGAGGCATGTGCCACCACGCCTGGCTAATTTTGTATTTTTAGTAGAGAAGGGGTCTCTCCACGTTGTTCAGGCTGGTCTCAAACTCCTGACCTTAGGTGATCCGCCCGCCTTGGCCTCCCAAAGTGCTGGGATTACAGGCATGAACCACCAAGCCTTGCCAAAAAGCTCTTTTAGGGCAACAATTCCAAACCCTAAGACAAGTCCACCACAATGGGCATAGCCTATAAGGCTCTCCCACATCTCAATCTCACAAATAATAGTTGTTTCTAGCTTTGCTTTCCAAATAATCTCATGCCCTACTAAACCACCACCTTTTCCAAAGGCCAGTAGACAACACATGGAAGAGCCACAGGGAATCCACTGATGACACGCACGCTGAGGAAGGCAGAGCAGCCACCACCTCACAGTCCAGCTGTGCTGTTTTAGCTCTTGTATTTGTGACCTCACACTGGACTGGGGTGAGGAGTGCACACGAACAGAACACTATTTCTGAACTGCCAGTCAGCATGTGACTGGCTCCGTCTCCCTCTTCAGTGATTAGGCTCAGTAGCTCTGGAAGGCAAGGAAGGAACACATGGAGGATGGGGAGAGCCCTTGAGGTGAAGGCCCTGAGCCCTGATTCCAACCTCTGCTCCCAGCGCACTGCTGCTGGTCACATGCTGCTGCCTGAACTTAGTTCAGGGCTCTCCACCACTTCCTTTGGGGACCTGGGCACCAAACTAAGAATCACTGGTTCACATTTCTCTCAACCATTAACAAAAGGGGGTAGAGATGGGGGCAACAGGGACAAGAATGCCACCTCCCAGGTGAGTGAAGATGAAATATATGACCACTCCTCACCCAGTGCTTGGCACACAGAGGTGGTCAACACGTTTCTTGAAATGTCACCTTAGGATGGAGTCCCAGGCCTCCCTGAATGCACCTGATCAGGAGAAATGCTCCTTAAGGGAACGGGGGATTCTCAGATTCAAGGGCTTCTTCTTAAGCAGACAGGCACGTGAGGCCCAGGAGACTGGCTCTGCTACCAGAAGGAAGGATTTTTTCTTTCAACCAACCTTTTGGTTGCTACCATTTCTTGTCCTTGAGAAAGGTGCTCCTAGTGCTTGTGAAGGGAAATGCCATATCCGTGCAGTATTGCTCTCCCTTTTCACCGGAGCCATCCTCCAGCCCTACCCCAAACTGCAGGTTTCCAATTGGTTATGATGTGCCAGAGACCAGGAAATGCCAGAGGGATGTTTGTAACAAAGGCTGCCAAAACTCTAAGCCTTCTTGTTCTACCCCCTAAGGAGAAAAAAGATGTGTAAGAAATTAGCCCATGGACCCCAGCTCCACCTGAACATCAAGATACCGTGGGGGCATTCCAGAGTCCCTGCAAAGGGTCTCGTGAGCTGCAGTTCATTGAGTGGCTTTAGGTCACGGGGAGAAAGGAGAGCTCCAGTTCCCCCTGAGAGGTGAAGGATTGTGGTTACAGGTTGTAACAGCTGTCACGGGAGGGTGAAAAGTCTCCAGCATCTTGCTGAGGATGCCCAGGAGGCAGCAGCTGAGTGAGGATGGATGGAATGCAGGGGCAGGAGAGGAGCCCAAGTGCAGAGGCTGGGGCTCAGACAGCCAAGGGGCCCCACACACAGGGCCTCGTCTCAGAGTCCTCCAGGCTGCTGGATGACAAGCGCCGGCGCTGGGCATTCCGACTGACGGCATTGTCATCAGCCTGCCAGGCACCTGGGGAACAGAAAATGAACATTACAGGAGCCAGACCTTTGGCCAGATCCAGATGGTGTCTCTAGCAGGGCAGCCCAGGAGTCAGCACGGAAGGAACAGGATGCGTGTCACCTGAGACTCCGATGAGGGTGCGAGCCACAGCACTCGTGCGTGAGAACGGAGAGAAGCAGGTGCTGACAGGTGCAGAGGCTGCTCCTGCCCCCTGGGCTAGGTACAGTCACTGCCACTGTGGCTCCCAGACAGGGAGGGACATGAAAGATGTTCCTTGTTTTGTGAACTTACCCTGGGATCCACTTTCGTATTTTAATCACTTGGTTTTAAAGTTTGCCTATATGTTACGATAGACAGGAAAAGGAAATTGGGCCTCGCTGAGCTATTTTCATCGGGGCAGGAAGAGGTGGGGGGAAGTGAGAAGACTGTTCGTTCTGGCCCGAAGTGTTAATGTTTTCTGTGGGGGCCCCGGGGGGCAGGAAAGGACTGGCCACCCAGCAGGGTTTCTGGGATAGAAGGCTGCCCGGAGGGAGGACAGTGTGAGGCTCCAGCCCCCATCACCTGCCGTTTTCCTCTCCTCCTGCACCTACGCAGCTGTTGAGGTTTGCTACTAGCTGGTGCCATCAGTCCAGCAGACACCAGCCTGAGAGCCTCGGGGTCCCACAGATACCACCACTGAACGCATCCTCTCCCCAAATCTGCTGTTGTCCCCACGTAAGGAGCGCCAGTGCCCATCTGGAAACCCATTCTTGGTGCTTCTCTTTCGTGTTCTGGATCCAGTCCTCCACAACCTCCTGTGGGCTCACTTCCTAGCGGTGTTGTGACTCCATCTGTAGTCACACTAACCTGGGCTCCACTCCCAGTTTACAATGGTGTGATCCGGGGCACATCAATTTACTGTGGGCCTTGGTTTTCTCATCCATCAGATGGGAGATGAGTACTGACCTCACAGGCTTGCTGTGAGGACTAGACGAGAGAATGCGAGTGTTGGTGAGTGACTCCTAGAACAGCCTGTGCTCAGGCTCTTCCAGGCCATCTCGCCTCTCCCCTGAGAGTCCTCTTCATCTCCCGCCCACAGATGAGCTCACTCCCTCCAGTGCCCTCCCTCCGGTGAGGCTAGAGCGCTCGCTCTCCCTCCTTGGGCCTTGGCTGCCTCCGCTCTCAGGGCCCCCTGGCTCCCTGGGGTAGGGAAGGCATGTTGTCCTCCGGACCCTGTGGGCCTCCCAAGCATGTCTCCCAGTGCCCTCCCCTCACAAGGCACCTCTGGCAGGGTAAGGCACAGTGTGCTCCTAAGTGCTCCCTGCAGCCTGAACTACTGCTCCACGCATGCCTCACATGGTGGAAAACGCTAGGTCCCGGAGCTCCTCCATGGGACGAAGCTCCTCCTGGGCAGGGGCTGTGACTTCTTCACTGTTGCAGTCCAGAGCCCGGCACAACACCTGACCCACAGGAGGACCTGTTCAGTGGACGAGGCCGACCAACTGTAGAGTGTGGCCGTGAGGTTGAGAGAGGCCACTCACAAGTGTCCAGGGTCAGCCTCAGGCCAATCCAGGACATGAAACTCTTTAATGGCACGTGGAGTCAGCAGGTATAAATGGCTTACTTCCATCAATGCCTGGGTGCGCTAATCCACCTCAGACTCCAGTAACAGTCTCTGGTGCTTGACCCCAGGGCAACGGTGAGAACAGGAGTGTCTTGGATCTCTCTCACATCCAAACTGAATTTGGGATCTTTACTCCCTGGGGGTGGGTACTGGAGCCTGGGACATGAGTCAAGCTGTTTTTTTCACCTCTAATGGTGGCACTATGTGTCTAAGTGTGGCAGGATGAATGTAAGGCAATATTAATATTGCCTTTAAAGTGAGGAACCCAAAATAAAATGAGCTGTTTGTTCATTCATATAATTTGGTAGATCTCATACCTATTCCTCAATGTTTATGGGGCAGGACTCCGGAGCTGCGGCTGTTCAGTAGGAAAGACCAAAAGCAAATGGTAAACAAGAGAGAAGACACACATGCATGCACAAATAAAAACAGCAGCACCACCACCACCACCGCCACCACCAGCAAGCCACGGAACGCTGGGCCTGAGAGGCTGCCCAGAGAGCCGTCCTGACTCTGAATTCACAGGAGTCCTCGCTACAAACTCCACCCTTCTATTCTATAGGAGTCTTAGCCAGGGCAGAACATCGGTTACTTGTGGAAGACTCAAGAATCAGATCTGAAGTCTGCTCTCCTGGCCTCTTGGTAAGCTCTGTGGTGAGGGAGATTCGGCAGCAAGTAGGGGGGCCCTTCCCCTGGCAAGGACCCTGAGGGGCCCACGGCAAGGCCCTGCTGCTGCTCTCTCCTTAGCCTCGTTCCCACGGTGAGCCTGGCTGCGGAAAGTCAGTGTAGGTGCTGAGGGGCCTTCCAGAGCAGGTGCCGCCATTTTGTCTGGCCTGGAGGCCCCTCCAGCCAAAAAATGGAGCGTAGAGATTTAAAATCCTTAGAGGGATATGGGTAACAGTGCTTTCCATTCACGTCTCATTTTTTGGGATATCAAAAATGGGAGTATAAAGAGACCTCTAGAGGTAGATTTTGGGAGTACATTTAGGAAAATTTCACAAGCCCCTTTCCTGCCTCTTGTTAAATGTAAGGACTGTAATAGTTCAACTGTCTTTGTAGGGTTGCTCTCCAGGGGAAGGAGGAACTTAGTTTGAATTTTTCCTTAGTGCCCATAAAGTGCAAGTAGCATCTTAGTCTTGGGTTTTGAGGCCTCTCAAAAAGAGGAGATAATTCAATTTCAGGTCTCCACAAACCTTTTTAGATTTCACTGGATATGCTCATTCCAGTGGAATGCAGTCATTTAAAAATTATATTTGTATTCCCACTAAAAAGACCCAAATTATCTTTGCCTTTGTTTTTTGTTTTTTTTTTTTTTTCCTCAAGATGGAGTCTCACTCCATCTCAGCCTCCCAGGCTGGAGTGCAGTGGTGTGATCTTGACTCACTGCAACCTCCGGTTCCCAGGCTCAGTCGATCCTCCCGCCTCAGCCTCTTGAGTAGCTGGGACCTGGCTAATTTTTGTATTTTCTGTAGAGATGGGGTTTCACTGCATTGCCCAGGCTGGTCTCCAGCTCCTGGGCCCAAGTGATCACTCGCCTCGGCCTCTCAAAGTGCTGGGATTACAGGCGTGAGCCACTGCGCCCGGCCTATCTTTGCCTTTTTCCATCACTGACTACCCCAGGGCCTTCATAGAACTGTCACTTGCCATGATGACTATCCTGCCACCTGTGTAACAGTCCACCAAACTCCTTGGAGCCACATCTGCTTAGCATGGTCTCACAATTCTAGTCTTACTACCACCTGCCACACCCGTCAACTGAGATCTCCTTCCTTTATTCCTTTCAGAAGCAATCTCAGAACACACCACTCCCCAAAATCCACCCTTGGTCTTGGGGCTCAGGAAAACCCAGAAGTTTCTTAGGGGGAGCGGGGCTGGAATGACAAAAGTGCCTCTAAGCCCCTCACCAGTGTGACCAGAGTGGTGAGGATAGGAACCAACAAGGTTCTCAGTTCTTGCCACCAGCCAGGTCTCCTGGCAGAGCCTGTGAGCATGGCGCAGGGCACAGGGAGAGCATGGGAGGCACCCTGGGTTCCATTTCCCACTGGCCCTCTGTGAAGGGAGTGGCACCCGCTTGAAGAGGGAAACAGACTCAAGCAGAGACCAGGCGCATGTGCAGCTGTCCTGATGGGGAGAGAGCTGGCTGCAGGAACAGTGATGAGCTAAGACAGCCAGTGGTATCTCAGCCCTAAGATAGAAAACTGAACTTATAGCTGAGTGTGAAGAGGTTTATTTACTCCATGAGACCTACCAAAGTGGATGTTCCTGTCTGTAACCTAGCAGACACTTCCAGAGAGTTCTCCAGCAAATCTGCTACCAGTGGAACCAGAGACACATTTTGCCTAGAGAGATGTGCTTTTCCCTCTCAAGTAAAAAGGGAACCAGAGGTTTTGAGACATCACTTTCACCCAGCTACTGACCGAGGATGCCAATTAAAAACAAATCATGGCCAGGCACAGTGGCTCACACCTGTAATCTCAGCACTTTGGGAGGCCAAGGTGGGCGGATCGCCTGAGGTCAGGAGTTTGAGACCACCCTGACCAACATGGTGAAACCCCATCTCTACTAAAAATACAAAAATTAGCTGGGCATGGTGGCAGGCGCCTGTAGTCCCAGCTACTCAGGAGGCTGAGGCAGGCGAATCACTTGAACCTAGGAGGCGGAGGTTGCAGTGAGCCGAGATCGTGCCACTGCACTCCAGGCTGGGTGACAGAGCGAGACTCTGTCTCAATAAAAATAAAAAACAAAAACAAAAAAACTCAAATCCTTTCCACTGTCCTTGCCACAGAAGCATTCCCATTTTTATTGAACAGAAATTAATATAGTCTCACACATTTTTTTTCTTGGAAAATCTTAGTATATTGAATACAGGCCCCCATCTTGAGGCCTCTGGTGAGGATATAATGGGACATTTACAGTGCCTATACCTGAGGCCCTCTCCCAAGAGCCATCATAGGCATGTGATTTCATGTCTGGCACAAAGTGTGAGCACATCATAATCTCTAAATAGCTGGCTCCACAAGTCACCCTAAGGAACCCCAGGGCTTCTCTCTTCCTCCCAGTCCTCACTCTCCTGTGATCCCATGGAGTAACTATCAACAAGCAGGTCAGCTGGGGGGAGTCAGGAAGAGGAGGAATAAGCTCAGTTTCCACTAGCACTATTGGCTAAAACAACTCCCAGCAGCTCCCTCTGCCAAAAAAATAGGGGTGGGTAAGGGAGCCCCTTGAGGGAGGCAAGAACCTAAATGTATCTCCTAAAGCCAAGTAAGGGGTAGACCAGGGTAGAGCTGCCTCAGACACAGGGCACGGTTAAGGCAGACATCATCTTGACGGAGGATGCCAATTAAAACCAAATCCTTTCCACAGCCCTTGCCACAGAAGCATTCCCATTTTTGTAAAACAGAAATACAGTCTCACAAATATTTTTTTCTCAGAAGATCTTAGTACCCTGAATACAGGCCCTTGCCAATCAGGAATGGGAGCCTTGCTCACAACCCCAAGCGAGCGCCTCCCAGGTGTGTGCGTGCCCAGCAAGCTTGGACGGGGCAAAGCATTGGCAGGGAGGACAGTACTGGCACGGAGTGAACAGGAACTTTCATACCAAGTCTAGAGAACATACATGAGTTTAGAAAATAAACAAACCAGACAGACAGATTTACATTTGCCAAAATGATGTGGAACACAAATGGACAGATGGAAGCCAGGCCAGGAGTGGGAAGGCAGGGAGTGAAGCAGCCCCTGGGCCCCAGCAGCTCCAGTCCAGGCCTAACTGGCAGGAGTCTGGCCCCGTGGTCGGCGCTCCCTCCTCCACGCTCAGGCAGGAAGCGGGTCTTCCCTGGGCCTGTGCAGGAGAAGCAGGGGAACCGATACTGCCTCTTTTGGTCTCACTGAAGATGAAGAGGCCTGGGCAGTGCCTTTAGAACAAACTAAATAGAAAATGACTCAAGAAAGCCCTTTGAAGGGCTGGAGAAAGTGTCTCTAGGGAATTCCAGCTTCCCCTGCCACAAGCTTGTGTGGGGCCAGAGCGTGCTTGGACTGTGTCTTGCACAGGCTGATGGAGAGTGGCAACCACAGAGGTCGTGTGGCTCCAACGCCTCCAGCCACGTCGCTGAGCGAGTAAAGCACTGGACCCGTGATGTGGCTGTTCTGAAGCTGAAGTGAGTCTTCGTTCGGGGAATGTTTAAGAGGATTCAAACAACACGGTGTGAAGGACAATCTCTGTCGTGAAACCCGGAGGGGACATCTGACTGAGTCCACTTGGGCAAGATGTGGATTTTAGAAAAGCAGTTTTTAGAGCCCTTGAATGGGCACATTAACTAAAAAGGCGCTCGGTGCTCAACGTGTGATTAACCTGATCCTGTGTAAGACATTAGCTAGATTCAGTTTAGCATCATAAGGAGGAATAAGGGGCACAGTGACAACCTGATCACCTGTGAAGTTACAGCTCCAGGGAGCATAAAGGAGCCCTAACTTGACCTCTCCGCTGGGATCCAAATCCAGTAGTATGTACAATGCAACTGGTAACCCAAAGCTCATGGATCACAGAGCCATGCCCTAGCCTCTAAAATGCTGACTTTCACATCCCTCTCCGATCCTAGCTGAAACACTTTTCTTCTGAGGAGCTACGGCTTCACTTTTAAGGGGTTCAGGCAATCCTTCCAAGACCTTCGTAGAGAGGTGGTGTCTGTCTGCTCAAACTTCCTGTTGATGAAAACAAGACCAGGCCACCTGACATGGCACCTGCAAGGCCGTGATGTGGGGTGGAGAGTGGTTAGGCCAAATCATAAGTTTTGTTTCTTTCTTCCTATCCTAATATTCTCACTCAGAGCAAGGCTGGCTCATTGCAAAAAGCTCAAGGACTCTCCCAGGCCTTCTTACTTCCTTTCAGCAACTGGTCTCCAGCACTAGCACACCCCAGGCCTTCTTGGCAGGAACTGCAGGGCAGGAGATGGGTGTACCAGGGTGAGAGCAGGGGTAAGAGCACAGGGATAGTCCCCCACCAAGTTCATGTTCAGCAGACTGCCACTCACCAGGTAAGCAGACCTCAGAGCACAGCTTATTGTCCAGTGCTTTCACGCTTGCGATGTCAAAGTCATTGTTATTGTCACACTCCATACCTAGAAATGCGCATGTCCTCTGGCCTGTAATGGAGTTAATGCAGTTAGAGAGGTGCTGGCTATGTTTTTCTCTGCATTGCTGTCCTTAAAATAAAAATCTTAAGGATGGAGACCAAAAAAAATCAAATAATGTGTTAAAAAAGACAATAATTTAGTGGGTAAAGAGTGGACAAGAAAGGAATCACATTGTGTGGCATGTCTGTATTCTCACGCTATCCTGCTGTTTCCCTAGAGCCCTTTCCGTCTGCTGTTCCCTAACAAGTCAGATCACTGAGGAGGGCTGTGGGACACAGGCTCAACAGAGAACACTAGAGCGAGCAGAGCTGGGCAGAGGCCAGGCTGGTGAGGCTGCAACCAGCCGGCAGAAGCTAGGGAGGGCCAGTGGGGAGGTCATCCTGCTCATGCCTGCGTCTGCCTTGGGTGCGAGCTGGGTGTGTTTATGACCACATGGCTCTGCAAAATAAGTACATGAAACAACAACTAAAGGTCTTAGGGTCCATAATTTTGCATATCAAATCAGAATGACTACATTCACAAAATTATGATTTCCTTTCTTACGAGACCTCAGTTGTTATTTTCAGTGTGTTTTAAGTGGCTAACCAGAAATCTACGGACATGTAAGAAAGGAAGGGAAAAGTTTTAAAAGGTGTCTTTTTTTAAAATCAAGCTCCCCTCTTTTTTTCTCAGTGAAAACAGAGAGAATAAAACAAATCTATTCCACGGGCTAGGGAATGTCAGGTGAAACCACCTGGCCACACTGTACTTCTTAGAAGCAAATATTCTATGGGAGAAATAATCACAAGGGGTAACGCTAGAGCCTCAAGCACTGAAGTCATCAACTGAGTTGGTGACACTCCAAACCCCCTTGGGCTGGGGTGCAAGAGCTGACGGAGGCAGCCTTGGTGGCCACCTTCTCCTTCAAGCTCCTTGGCCAGGCGGGACCTGTCATGTCCACATGCGCACCTCCAACACTTCCCAAGCGATGGCCAGCACTAAAGCAGAAGCAATAGGATGACATCTGCTGGCGCTTCTGCATCCAGGCCGGGCATATGTGTGCTCTGGAGGCGCCCCTAAGGGAGGTGCCTCAGAGCAGCAGGAGGAAGAGTCTGGCTCCTGGAACACGTGGTGTTCGCTGCTTGGGGGAGACTTTCCTGCCCACCTTCTTCCTCCTATGTCCTTGCTCTGTGGGCCATTCCTTCTCTTCTAGCCTTCCTGGAAACAACATTCTTCCAACTGAAGATATAACTGAGGCCTGAATTATGGTAAAGGAAGATCATTACAATAGCCTTTAAAATACTTGCCTAAGCTGAGCTCCTGAAGAAACTTGGACCTGTTTCCTTGACCACGCCTTTAATATGTCTGCTGGCTCCTGAGAGTCCTCTTTTACAGTAATGTCGACCATTTTCCTAACTAAAGCAAGACCTGACCAGCTGCCAAATAGTCCTCCTCCTCCCCACAGTGGAAGAAATGGCTACTGCTGTTCAACACTGAGACTGCCAGAAGAGCTCTATGGGGCTCCACTGAAAACCTGCAGCAGGGAGGCTGATGATGGGAACTGCTTAGAGAGCTTCTGAATCTACTTGAGGTAAATATGGACCTGTATGTATCTCCTGCAGCACCCGCACCTGACATCCATGGCTCTGAGACCCAGAAAGAGCTGAGGAGGTTATAGAGGTCATCAATGCCCTGCTTGCTTTGATGTACCACTAAGACGACGACCTTTCCCTTAACAGTCCCACACAACTGAGCAGTGCCACCAAGTCATACCAGTACCCTTTTCTTTACCCCTTAAAGAAGACCCAGGAAAGAAATATAACTAAAGGAAGCAAAGGACCAGATCTTTTACCATCTTCCTGCGTGGGTGATCCATCCTCTTCCTCCATAACATCATTTCCCTAGGACAGAAGGAAGGTCCTGTGAGTCTATAAAGCAGCAAAATGAGTAAACTGATTGGCTGAAGACAGAACTAATCATCCTAATGGTATCTAAGTCCAGGGCCTACGTTAACAGCATATACTTCCATCTGTGTTTAATATGCCTGAGAGGCTGAGTAGAGGCAGATTTTGCTTGGTGAGGCACCGTCTGCCTATAGGGATTAGATCCGAGCCACATTACCCATGTATGCTCAGAATGGTCTGTCAGGAACACCCTTGTTAATAGTTTAGCTGATACTGTTTCTCGTGTGTGTGTGTGTGTGTGTGTGTGTGTGTGTGTGTGTGTTTTGAGACAGAGTTTCGCTCTTGTTGCCCAGGCTAGAGTGCAATGGCATGATCTCGGCTCACCACAACCTCCACCTCCCAGGTGCAAGTGATTCTCCTGCCTCAGCCTCCCTAGTAGCTGGGATTACAGGCATGTGCCACCACGCCCGGCAAACTGATACCGTTTCTCTAAGGTAGAAGTAAAAGTTACTAAATGAAAGAGCAAACTGTGAGATCATAAGACTTTGAGAAATTCCTTAAGATCACAAACCCCATCCAGATCCTCCATTGAGAGTAGCTGGCTCAAGAAGAGTTCTAGACCTCTCCCTGTGAGCCGGCATTCCACAGCACACCATGGGCTGTCTCACACTGAACTGTGGTCCTGTCTGCCTGCTAGACTGGGCTCCTAGGTGCAGTGGGTGGGGGTAGGCAGAAACCTCGCCACACAGATCTGTATAGGTCTGTATGTGCCCCAGCACCAATGAGCACCTGTGACACAGTCCCCCATGTAAATACTAGTGGAATGACGGACAATACATTCTTAAGGCCAGGGGCTGGCAAGAAAAGTTCCCTCTTGAACTCACTCTACACCAGTGACCCTGGGAACCTGTGGCCCCACTCACTGGACAGTCCACAGGCCCTGGTGCAGCCGCTCTCATCTCTACCCATATTCTACTTCTCACTGATCCAGGCATGTCCCCCAGGAAGACTTCGTCAGCAAAGCCTCCCGGCCCTGGTCCTTATTGGCATCCCAGCCAAGGCCAGCACTCCTCTGGCTATGCGAAGGGGCACCACTCCGTGCTGTTGGGGTTACCTCTGCATCCTGCTCTCCAGCTGGGAGGCCAGCAAAGTTGCTGTCTGGAGACTCCGCTGGCAGCCCCTGCAGAAGAGCACAGTTTTTACAGGCTCTTCCATCAAGCTCTCGTGACAGCAAACCCAAACCTTCTTCAGTACAAACTTGGCGTCAAATAGGAGGGTCAGACCTAAGGGAATGCCTTGTTTTCTGTGGCACTCCTGGCATTTTGGGGCGTTTTGCAGCCATGCATGGCAGACCTTTGGTTATGCTACTTTGGACATGTATGCAAAGAACAGAGAAGCCAGGGCGGTTTCCGTCCCTTCCCTTACCTCTCCTTCTTCTGAGGGGGCCCTGCTGGCAGACTGGGGGGAAGGGAGAGCCTCTCCCTCCTCTTCAGTGCCAGGGGCGACGTAGGAGCCAGACATGGAGGAGACGGTGTCGGTGCTGATCTGGGAGGATGCCATGGACATGACAGACTGGGCCAAGCTGCTGCTGGCAGGGCCTTTGGAGACAGGGGATGGGGAAGGAGCCTGGAGGTCAGGCAGGGCTTCTGCAAGCTTTCTGGGGAGCAGAGCCCTCTCCCTGCACTCAGGCAGTGAGGAGTGAAGTGGCCTTATCTTGCCCTCCCCTAAAAGTGGTTTTAGGTTTATGGTTTTCCAAAATTCTGTTCCTTTATATTTTAGAGCTCAGAACTTAGCCTCGGGGACAAGACATTTGCTTTTCCTTGTCATCATGCTAAAGGAAACCTCATGACAGCAGGACTGGGGCTGAGAGAACCAACACCCGGCTAGCTACAGGCAAGCCCGCTAACCCATGGTAGGAAAGCAAGTCCTCTTCCCTCTCAAGCCAGGGCCTACTTGTCATGCAGTCCAGGTATTAGCTTGCCACTCCCATGTCCCTTCCCAGAGGAAACACCAGGACACTGTGGGCTGGGTAAGGGGGAAGGACATGCAGCCACTCCCTGCTCCTCATGTACCTTCTGGGGAGGAAATAGTGGACGACAGAGGCGTCCCTGTACAAGACGACTGGTCAATAGCTCCAGATGACGACAAGGTGAGATTCTCACTTTCTGGAGTCACACCACATTCCTGGGGGGTGTGGGGGACACAACAGGACATGGAGCAAGTGCGAGTCACCTGTGCTGGAGAAAGGGGTCAGGGCGGAGGTCTGGGTAGAGATGAGGAGGAAAGGCGGCACTGGGAGGGACTGAGTGGCATGCAGAGGCCGCAGCTTCTCTATTCCGTCCTCACTTCTCAGCCCAAGCCTGGAATGACTGCCTCCCAGGGGAGGCGCACACTTCAGTCAATACCTCCTGCCCAGGGCACAGCCATCTGCTGCGGCCATACAAAGATGCAGCTCGGGTGACACAGGTCACCCCGCAGCTGTGACATGGGGACACCCCAGGTTTCCCCAGGATTATGATCAGCTTTCCTTCTGAGGCAAAAGCATACAAAGACAGCAGAGGCCTTCCTGCCTGCAGGGTATCTCCACACGGACCCCAGTTAACTCCTGCCCAGCTGCTTTCTGATACAAACACCACCTTGCTCCCCAGCCTGCTGCTCCTCCCACGCCCCCATCTCTGATCCCAGCCCCCATCTGCCAGGCATCTGGGTGCACAGCCTCACCCATCCGAGGCAGATGCAAAGTTCTATGAACTGTGTCTCCATAATCCCTTCCCTTTCCTCCAGGCGCTTCTCTTTTGTCTTAGTTCAGGCAGTCCTTCTTGCCTGGGCTACCGAAGCCCTTTCCTGGCTGGGTCTGTCTCCTGTCTAGTCCAGGCTGCATGCTGCGGTCAGGTGGGCCTTTGGGAAACGAAGTGCTCACCGTGCCCCTGGCTTGCTCCGAGCCCCGACTTCCTGCTCTGTGCCTTTGCATGCACTGTCCTCTCCACATGGATGTTTCTCTCACCTTTTTCATATCTAAAAAACTTCAAGGTTTAGCTAAAATGCTACTCCGCCGTAACACATTTTCTGATTTCCTCCACTTACAATGATCTTGTCCATCTCTGACACAGCAATTTATTGTCTCTGTTTTGGGCACACTGCTTTTCTATAAAGTTTACTCAGTCATTTAACACATACTTACTGAGCAACAATGACGTGCCAGGCACATGCTATTCCCATGTATATGTCCTGTCCCAGCCAGACCTGAGCACCTAAGGGCAGGGACCACTTTATTTACCTTCCTATGCCCCACTCTACCTAGCTCAGTGCCCTACAGAGAGAAGCTGCATAAACCTTTGTTATGTGAGGTCTCTGTGGGACACACAGAGTAGAAAATTCCAGCCTTCTCTTCCATTCCTCCACGTGGGCCTCCTGGCACCCCCCAATTACCCTCAGGGCTTTCTCCTTGCTGTTCCCAGGCCTAGGGCCCTCTCTCCTCGTATATCTGCATAGCTAGCTCTCACACTTCCCTTGGTCTCGGCTCCTGGACCGCTTTTTAAGAATGGCAGCCCCCACTTCCAGCTGTGACACTCCCTTCCCACATGTCACACACGCTGATCCACAGCCCCACCTGGTACACATGTATTTTTATACTTACTGTCTTTTGTGTCCCCCACCCTCACCCCAGCTAGCAAGAATATGTTACGAGGGCAGGGACTTTTGTTGTGTCCCAGCTACTATACTCAGCATATAGCACAGTGCCTGGCAAATAACACAGGCTGCATATGCTGTTGAATGCATGAATCCAGTGAAATCTTTGCCACTGCCTCAGAGGGCGTTGAAAAGGTGTTTGATAAGTGAATGAGAGCAGAGGGACCTGATGAGCCATGCAGGTAGGAGGAAAGTCCCTGGAGTTCAACACCCAAGAATAGGAGAGGAATATCAATTACCTCTCCGAGATGCTGAGCTGATGGTCTCTGAGAGAGCTGTGTCTCCGACTCACTGCAGGAACGCTCATCTTCCTCTTCATGCAGCACGGAAGAGTTTTGGGAAATGGATCTATAGGAGTCCAGTGGAAAAGCAGCTATATCCAACGTCCATTTAAAGAACAGTACATACTGCAAGGGGAGCCGAGGGGAAAACCCAAATCTTTTTTCTTTATTTTTTGAGACAGGGTCTCATTATGTTTCCCAGGCCGGACTCAGACTCCTGGGCTTCAGCGATCCTCTTGTTGACGTCTTTAACAGAGGAGGAGTACAGCCTCCTGAGTAGCTGAGTAGGTCTGGGCTAACTTTCCTGGTTCAAAACCCAAATCTTAAGTAGGACTAGGGAGGTAGAAAAGAGAACCAGGGAGGGATGTAGACCTCTTTTGGGTGTCAGAAGTGCTAAGTTTTACCTTTAGCTCCTTTGATGACTTGCTGTCTAAACTTGGGAAAAACCACAGCCGTTTACAGGGTCTCAATATTTTCATCTGTAAAATACCCTCTGCTTTACTCTGCCACAGAAACCTTGTCACGATTTGTACCTAGCTGGACTTAGATGTTTAAGAGATATGGATCACAAGGTTCCTTCAGTCTTTGGACTAAGCAGTGCTCCCAGGGGCCTAGATGGCCCTATCCACAGTGTTCAATGTCCTCTTCCCTATAACCCATCCCCTATCCTTGAAAACAAAAAGAATACATAAGAGATTTGTCTCATCAGAATTTTCCTAAGTGCCTACATACCATCTTATTTTCATCTCTTAACGGATGGGATAACCTTCCCACAAGCAGCTCTGGGAACAGCCCAGAGGGTTACTCTGCCCTAAGGCCCCAGGATGTGGGCCAGCACCAAGGAGAGTTGAAACATCTCATCATGGATTCTGGGGGCAATACTGTGGAGCACTGGCTACTCACTTGGAGAGACTCTTTTTGAGTTTGAGTCCCTGGTTGCTGCAGTCAGACAGGCGGTCAAGAGGTGAGATGGTCCTGACAGGGGGCAGGTGGCCATCACTGCCATACGAAGGGAGCATTCCTGAGAGGTGGCCATCTCCAAGCACGTGAAGTGGAGGAACTGCTGGGGATGGGGTGAGGGGCCCATTGAGGGCCTCCAGAAGAGATACTACTTCATAGCCTGGTGGAATATTCTCTGAGGACTAGGGGAATCAGAGACAGGTTGAAAAATCAATTAGGTCCTTTTTGTTTTATGACATGATTATGCTACTTACTCTACACAGAAAAAAATGTTTTATATCTGTTCTTGGGGGGTTTGGTAAGAACAATTGTACTAGAGGAAGAGGTAAAATATCAAAGAACTACACATTGTAGATCCTGCTTATTGGTAAGCTTTTTCTTAATAATCTCTATTTTTTTTCTGATTATAACGGAAATATGTTAATTATAGGAAATTTGGAAAATATATTATTAGGAAAAAAATTAGGAAAAAAAATCACCAGTAATCAAATCACCAAAGTGACTTTTGTTAGCATTCTGGTGTCTCTTCTTCCCATTTTTTTCTGTGTACTATTTACACAGTTTTGATCAACCTGTAAATAACAATTTTATATTCTGCTTATTTTATTATACTTTCCTCTTTTTTAAAAAATAGAGATGGGATCTCACTATGTTGCCCAGGCTGGTCTTGAACTCCTGGTCTCAATCGATCCGCCTGCCTTGGCCTCCCAAAATGCTAGGATTACAGATGTGAGCCACCATGCCTGGCCAGAACATAAATATTTTCCTTCGTTTCTGAAGCCTCTTCATATATGTCCCCTTCTTACAGATCCCCTAAGTTTTCTAACTATTCTCCTAGTGCTGTGTATCTAGTTGTGTCTAGCATATCCTATTGTAAACAAGTTTTGATGAACATCCTTGAATGCCTTTTTTTTCAAATTATCTTCTTCTTGTTAAATTCTTAGCTCTTAGATGATGAGGTATAAATGTTTTTAAGGTTCTTGATATATATTGCTGTTTTCCACTGTTTTGTTTCTTTCAGTGCCTTTTCTAGTTACACTCCTGTAAGTAATACAGAAGACCTATTCTGACTGCTTCCCTGAAAGCGGGGAGAATCACTACAAAAAAAAGTTTTTAAAATTTGAAAGTTGGAAAATGGTATTCTCATATTCACATATCATTGATTTTTAACGTGGTTGAACTTTTTAAAAAACTCTATGTTGAGTATGTTTTGTTTATGCCCTTTGCCCATTAATCTACTGTATTATTCGATATGAACTATGGCAAAGACATTAGCTTTTCCTCTGATACATACATTGTAAATACTTTTTAAAAAAACTACTATTTGTTGTCTAACTTTTAATTTTGGTCACCTATTAGACCTCTGACGTGCTAAACTTTTTAGGTAGTAAAATGTATGGCTCTTGCTTTCACGCTTAGAGAATCCTTTCCAATCTAAAGTCAACTAAACAATCGTCTATAATTTATTCTAGGTTTTTGTTTTGTTTTGTTTTTTTGAGACGGAGTCTCGCTCTGTCACCCAGGCTGGATGGAGTGCAGTGGCGCAATTTCCGCTCACTGCAAGCTCCGCCTCCCGGGTTCAGGCCATTCTCCTGCCTCAGCCTCCCGAATAGCTGGGACTACAGGTGCTCGCCACCACACCCAGCTAATTTTTTGTATTTTTTTTTTTAGTAGAGACGGGGTTTCACCATGTTAACCAGGATGGTCTCGATCTCCTGACCTTGTGATCCGCCCACCTCGGCCTCCCAAAGTGCTGGGATTATAGGCGTGAACCACCGCGCCCGGCCAATTTATTCTAGATTTTGAATGTTTTGTTTTGTTTGGTTTGCTGTAATGTTTGTTTGGTTTAATGCTTTTAATATAGTTAATTAGTTACTCCAGCTGGAATTTATTTGGTAAGGAGTAAAGTGCTAAACTGATTTTTCCTCCTGGAATAGCTAACTAATTATCCCAATACCATTCACTGAATAATCATCTCTCCCAGCAGTGCGTTAATCTAAAGAAAGACAGTATCTGCTCTTCTTTAACTGCAAAGCTTTCAGGTTTCACTCTAATATCAGCACTTACACTAGGAAACTGAGGGCACTTTATCTCAGGCACTGAGGCCACAAAACAGGATAAAGAAAAACAGTTACTTTCTTCGAAGATTTGAATAAAGAAAATAAATTGTATTTAAATCCAAAATAATCGTCCCATTGTTTCTGCCTGAGGGAGTTGGAGTTGAACCTCGCTGGAGTGAAACTGCAAGCAGATGGCTCTAGGAATGGTAAATATTAACTGGACACCAAGTTCCCAAAGAGGAAAAGGGAGGTTTTCATCACCAGTACTCAATCTTCCACAGTAATAATTTGGTTGTAACACATGCTCTCAGCTGGGCTGCTAAATACTGCAGCATACCCAGGTCTAATTCCTTGCTGCAATGCCACATAGAAAAGCATGAAAGGTTTAAAAAAGCCAATGAGGCATTTGCTTCAGAGGGGCCGTGGTTCTGAGCCCAACTTACTGAATGCTCTTCAGAGTCAGATGTCTGGGATGAGATGATGGGGTTAAAGCTGGTTGGGGACAAAGGGCCCAATTTTTTCCTCATGGCTCGGATCTGAAGCAGTGCCCGGAAGGCTGTGAAGAAGAAAACAGGCAATCAGGACATCCTGATGCAGGATTAAGGATGAACAAGAGCCCAGACAGAAACCATGATCCCTCCCAGCGCGCATCCGTTTGTCAGATCCAGCAGCAGCACATGCTTCAGTGTTTTGTAAATGTCCTCTTGTCCTCTCTCCCACCCACCAGTCCCCCTGCCACTCTGGGGCTTACGCAGTCGGCAGATGGGGCAGTTGTTGGCCTGGTAGCGCAGGGTGTCTGCACAGGTGTTACAGAGGCAGAGGTGGCGACAGGGCAGAATCAAGGTGTCCCGGACATCCGAGAGACACACCACACACTCGGCACTGTTATCACTCACTTCGTCTTCAGCCACCTGGTCGAGGAGAAAGCAATTTAGCCAGTGTCACAAAGCCCTTCCTGTCCCATACTTTACAGACAAGGCAGTGTGGCTAAAGAGCTAGGATAAGTAGGCTGGGCGCGGTGGCTCAAGCCTGTAATCCCAGCACTTTGGGAGGCTGAGACGGGAGGATCACGGGGTCAGGAGATCGAGACCATCCTGGCTAACATGGTGAAACCCTGTCTCTACTAAAAAATACAAAAAACTAGCCGGGCGAGGTGGCGGGCGCCTGTAGTCCCAGCTACTCGGGAGGCTGAGGCAGGAGAATGGCATGAACCCGGGAGGCAGAGCTTGCCAGGAGCGAGATCCGCCACTGCACTCCAGCCTGGGCGACAGAGCGAGACTCCGTCTCAAAAAAAAAAAAAAAAAAAAAAAAGAGCTAGGATAAGTAATAAGAACAAAATCTGCATTGACATTGGACTTTGTCGTTTACCCAGTGCGTCCACACACTTAGCTTCACTGCTTCTGGGAAGTGTTTATCTAAAATTGAGAGGACAAGACTAACCACTCGAGCTCCTATGAGGCTCAGAGCTAGGCCTCTCAAGTCTCAGCTGAAGGGACCTAGGGGACCACACAGATAAAAGAAAAGGAGCAAAGAAAGGACCCTGGTGGAAACCGAGTTGGACAGAACTCTGTGGCAGAACAAAGCCAAACCAGCCTACTTTTCTCATTTCCCAAGAGGTAAAAGCATAATGATCTGAAATGAGGAACAAGAAAATACCCTTCTAAGACCTAACTGATTTCAGAGTTTGGCATACTAAATTCCTGGACGCTGGCTTATAATTTCTCACTTGGCCTCCTGGAAAGAGTACCTTCAGAATTTTGGATAAAACTTACCTTAGAATCTTGTGTGTTGTACTTGTTTTCAATTCCATAGATCTCCTGAAGGAGGTAGCTGACCCCGTCTACCTGAACAGCAAATAGAAAGGTTCAAGGACAGGCTGTCTCTACTGAGAGACAAGAGTGGGAACTCCCTCCCCTCTTACCTCTTTCGGTAACCAAGGACTACTGATTCATAATGAAAAAAAATCAAAGGTCTAGATAAGTAAAGGATGCTTTTATTTACTTATGTTTTCTATTTGAGAGGAGAAAGAAAATCAAATATTTAATTCACCCATCATTATATACAATAGGGAACACAAAAGTGCACAAATACAATAATAATACTTGCACTGCAGCTTACTATTATGGACAATTAAGAAGGCATAGACTAGAAAAAGGATGGAAGGGTATGCATTAAAACATAGGCATTTGCTATGTAATCCAATTTGAGTTCAGACATTATAAAAATAAAGGAATAGAAAGGAGAAAAAGAAGAAATTGGCAAGGAAAAAGATGGGAAGGGAAAATATGAAAGCAAAGGGCGATAGCAAGATCTTGAGGGAGAGGCTAATGGTGTGTACCCCACACCATGAAGCCACCCCATCCCCAACATGCAGCAAAATTACACTGCTTGGCCCTGTTTCTTTCTTTCTTTCTTTCTTTCTTTTTTTTTTTTTTTGAGACAGGGTCTTGCTCTGTCATCTTGGAATGGAGTGCAGTGGTACCATCTTGGCTCACTGCAACCTCCGCCTCCTGGGTTCAAGCAATTCTCCTGTCTCAGCCTCCTGTGTAGCTGGGATTACAGGCATGTACCATCATGCCTGGCTAATTTTTGTATTTTGTGGTAGAGATGGGGTTTCACCATGTTGGCCAGGCTGGTCTCAAACTCCTGACCTCAAGTGATCCACCTGCCTCAGCCTCCCAAAGTGCTAGGATTAGAGGGATGAGCCACCAAGCCCAGCCAGCCCTGTTTCTTAAAACCCCAACTACCAAGGCCCAATCCCACTCCCACTAACCTGGCCCATGTCAGTGCCTAAGTTGGCCCTGCCCCATTTACTTTTAGGAGCACGTTCTTCTGCCTCACCTCTGTTTCTTAGCTATCCCTTCCTCTAAGACATAGCCTGTCTCTGATTTTATATCCCACTCTCCAGTTTGATAGTCTGTTGCTAATGCCTATCTAACAAGAGGAAAATAGACAAACCATTTTCCTCTAGCTACATGAACCTTTCCATCCCATCCAGGCCTCCTGGAGAACCAGGCCTTCCCCCATGAGGCAACTCACCAAGGCCTGGCCTGCCCAGGTAGTGCCCTGGACTCAGGATCTGTTTCCTCGTCTGCTCTTAAAACTTGTTTTCATGTAGTGATTATATTGGAAAACTAATTTATACTAAGATATTCTTATTACTGACCTCATTAAAAGAGAGGCAAATAATTAACCTAAAAGAATGGATAGTATAGAATTTCAGATATCTATCACCCATCTGCAGGGAGGCTTTTCTTTGCATCTTGACGAAGCCCAGCCCTGCCTCCTACCCAGCTGCTCTACACCCTCCTCGAGATGACCTACCCCTCACCCACCCTCCCTTGCCAATGCCACTGGCACCACTCTCTCTCCTTCCAATGATGTCTCCTCCTACCTCTATAAGAGTGGAAAGAAAAGTGCTGGCACATGGCAGGGGCTGGGACTTCTAGCAGACATATGCACAAGGTGCTGATCTTTCTGCAAGAGGAAGAATGGCCAACTTTGAATTTTAGAAAAGGAATGGATAAATTAAGCCAATGACTCTAATTACCCCAAATTGGACCCTAATGCTTATCCTTTCGCTTGAAATAGTTCTCACTCTGGCATTTAAAATAAAAAGAGTTCTCCCTAAACCCAGTGTTGGGAAATAAATCTTGTTCTTTCATTTCTCAAGTCCTTTACTCAGATAAAGGCTCCCTCAACACCAACACTTCTGGAACAATGAAGACATCAAAAATCAGCATTCCTTTCAGGCCACCCAAGTCGTTTGTAATAGCTTGTAACATTCAAAAGCACTCCCTTTTTTTCTTTTCTTTTTTGATTAAAAAAAAAAAGAAGAAAAAGAAAAGGAGAGACTTAGCAAAAAGTAAAACAAAAACAAAAACAAAAAAAAGAGGGAGAGAGAAGAAGAAAGGAAAGAATAAAAGGAAGGAAGGACCCTAACACTAACAGTCTGCGGTCTTCAAATACTTACTACTTGTTTCTGTTTGAGGGGCTTGACACAGAAAGTTCCATCTGTGTGCTGGAATGAAAATATGAAAGTTATGACAAGGAAGGGAGGGTAATAAAGCTCCAGGTATTCTTCTGTTACATCTCCCAGTTACAGTCACCCTCCCTTATCTGCAGTTTCATTTTCCATGGTTTCAGTTACCCACCATCAACCACTGTCTGAAAATATTACATACAATAAGATATTTTGAGAGAGAAAGATGACTTTCAGACTTTTATTACCTTATAATTGTTTTAGTTTACTATTATTCTTAATCTCTTACTTTGCCTAATTTATGAATGAAACTTTATCATAGGTGTGGATGAAGTCTACGAAAAACCATAGTGTATATGAGGGTTCTGTACGATCTGCAGTTTCAGACATCCACTGGGGGTCTTGGAACGTATCTCCTGAGGATAAGGGGGACTACTGTACACATGTTCCTGGATGCTCTCAGAGTAGAATTATACAATCCTAATTCTTTAAAGATCTTACAACTATCCAGTGTAACCCTTTCTTTCTTTCTTTTTTTTTGAGACAGAGCCTCACTTTATCGCCCAGGCTGGAGTGCAGTGGCGCCATCTCAGCTCACTGCAACCTCCGCCTCCCAGGTTCAAGCAATTCTCCTGCCTCAGCCTCCTGAGTAGCTGGGATTACAGGTGCCTGCCACCATGCCTGGCTAATTTTTTTATATATATATATATATATTTTTTTTTTTTGAGACGGAGTCTCACGCTGTTGCCCAGGCTGGAGTGCAGTGGCGCGATCTCGGCTCACTGCAAGCTCCGCCTCCTGGGTTCACGCCATTCTCCTGCCTCAGCCTCCTGAGTAGCTAGGACTACAGGCGCCCGCCACCGCGCCCGGCTAATTAATTTTTATATTTTTAACAGAGGCAGGGTTTTGCCATGTTTCCCAGGCTAGCCTCGAACTCCTGGCCTCAAGTGATTCACCCACCTTGGCCTCCCAAAGTGCTGGGATTACAGGTGTGAGCTACCGCGTCTGACTCAGTCTAACCCTTTCATTTTAAGGAGACTGAGGCCTAAGGAGTTGAAGGTCCTGTAGCAAGCTGATAGCAGGGCTGGACCTACACCCAAACGTAGCCCCCAAAGCGATGTTCTGTTACCATCATAGCCTCTAAAGCCAGACCCATTCTGCTGAGCTCAGGGACCCAGCAAACAGGGGTTACATGTGTCTCACATGAAAGAAAGGGCTAAAGGGAATAAAGCGAGGCCCTCTAAAGTCACTCACCTTCTCAAAAGTCCCCAGCAGTATATGGCAATGGCCAAAATACTCTGAAAGAAACAAAGGCATGTGAGTGAAGAAGCCCAAACAGCACACCTTGATGCCCATGACCTTCCCCAATTCCCTGCTATCTGGCAAACCAAATGTGCCAGTCTGTCCCTAGAAGGGGCATTTTATATAACCCTTTTTTTTTTGAGACAAAGTCTGGCTCTGTTGCCCAGGCTGGAGTGCGGTGGCATGATCTTGGTTCACTGTGGCCTCCACCTCCCGGGTTCCAGCAATTCTCCTGCCTCAGCTTCCCAAGTATCTGGGATTACAGACATGAGCCACCATGCCTGGCTAACGTTCTGTATTTTTAGTAGAAATGGCGTTTTACTACGTTGGCCAGGCTGGTCTCGAACTCCTGACCTCAGGTGATCTGCCCGCCTCAGCCTCCCAAAGTGCTAGTATTACAGGGATGAGCCACCACACCCAGCTAACCCACATTTTTTGAGACCGAGTCTCACTCTGTCACCCAGACTGGAGTGCATTGGTGCAATCTCAGCTCACTGCAACCTCTGCCTCCTGGGTTCAAACGATTCTCCTGCCTCAGCCTCCCAAGTAGTTGAGATTACAGGCACACACTGCCATGCCCAGCTGATTTTTGTAGTTTTAACAGAGAAAGGGTTTCACCATGTTGCCCAGGCTGGTCTCGAACTCCTGACCTCAGGTGATCCAAACCTGCCTCGGCCTCCCCAACTGCTGGGATTACATGTGTGAGCCACTGTGCCCAGCCAAACCCACACTTTTCACATCCGCCCAGGAGCTTGGAGTCACAGATGTGAGAGGATGCAGAGACTGCCTGACTCACAGTCACAAACACCCACAAAGAAGGCATGTTGTTCTGGGGCCACAGCTGCTGCCAGGAATATGCCACAAAAGAGCAGTGTGCACAGCCAAAGAGGACAGAAATCGCCCCTACCGTCTCCTTCATCCACCACGGCATGTACCACTAGAGGGTAAACTTCTCTGTCCAGATCAAAGCCAAGCTGAAGGGAAAGAAAAGAAAAAAAAAAAAAAAAAGAGGACTTAACACATTTAGATGGCACAGTTAATCTCAGAAAGGGCGATACTGTCAAGCATTAATCTCATTTCTGCTCCTCATTAACAAGGCTCCTTGTCAGCCTTGTTAATTACCCAAGTTTGTTAAATGAGGGCCATCAGTTTCTTTTTAAAAATCTCATAGACGTAAATAAGGCCTTCTAACCTATAGGTTTTGTTTGTTTGTTTGTTTTTTCTTTGAGCATGGCTTTCTCAAAGTATCCTAGGCGAATCAGCTTCTTTTTAAAAATCTCATAGATGTAAATAAGGCCTTCTCACCTACAGGTTTGTTTTTTTTTTTTTTCTTTGAGCATGGCTTTCTCAAAGTATCCTATGCTAATGGGCTATTTCCATTCCTAGGGAATGGAAAAATTAACTAAGTCAGGTATATCCTTGATGCAAAATAAGCAGAGCTTTAAAAGGACATGATGAAGTCACAAGACAGAAAGGTAAGCATGGCCTTCAAGTGTCTGAGCAGCCCCTTTGCTGTTGGCCGGGGTCCTAAGTAGCCCCTAGGCCCTTCTGAGTCGATGTGGGAAACCCTCCCCAAAGGTAGCTCACCTCCTCTTCGGCCCACTCGGAGGGATCCACGGTATGGGAGGGCAGGCAGAACTGCTGACACACTCCTCGCTTGTAGTGCACAGTCTCCGACTGGAGGCTGTTGTCTTTGGGAATGTAGCTATTGATACAAGTGGGAGGCAAAGCAAAAGTCAGTATCTGGCACAGATGGGTCTGACAACTTCCTCTGCTCATGCCTGTTCTCAATTATCAACAGGCTCTAGCGAAGAGAAGAAAGGGTCCTTTATAATCCATTTCCTTTGCTCTTGCTTGGCAATGTTGACTTTTCTATTCAACCCACACATCCAAAGAAAGGTAGCTTACTAGATTTTTAACAGTCCTTAAGGACCTGAAGGACTATACCACCATTTGCCACTATACCAAGATGGCACAATTTGAAGGGAAAAGGTAAAGGGTAGGGCTTTGTAGAAGAAAATCTATTCAGGAACCAGATCTCATCTGGCTGCAGAAAAAGAATGTTTTCCACCTTTGCTGAGTGGATAAGACATGGACTCTACCCATCTGGGAAGGAAGTGGCTCACCTGGTCTCCTGATCTTACCTGGCAATACCATTCTGGAACTCTTCCATGGCCTGGTAATAGATGGTGATGGCTACCCTAGCATCTGTGTCAAAGGTGAACTCAACATTGTAGTGGACTTTAGCTTTGCTGGCCTCTTCTCCAGGGCTCTTCACTTCCTCAGCACATCTAGAAAACCAGAGACTCAGCATTTGCAGGGTAGCATATCAATATTTTTAAATTTACCTTTTAAAAAAATTTTAGCAATATATTGTGGGCTTCTCTGAGTGATCGTAAGCATAGGTCTACCTCTTCATTCTGAATGATCACAGAGTGCTTCATGACCAATATTGCTGGGCACTCAGGTTACTTCTGATATTTCAGTGCTACCACTACATCATTGTGCATTTGGCAGTTTTGTTTTTATTTTAATAAAAGTTATTAATCACGTAGTTTAAATAGTTTCTTCAAGGCAAAAAATAGCAGGCCTTACTTCTTCCCTTTCCTTCTCTTCAAAGGACACCGCTTTTAGTGATCATTTTGGCATTTACCCACATTTCTAAAAAATATATTTGGGTTACTACTTCTTGATTTTTCAGTTTCAGGCACTATCTATGGGTTTCCTACTATAGAAACAAGGATTTCTTTCTCTTTACTCATTCTGCTCCATATAGGAACTCCCCCATCCCCACAGTATAGCTACATCATAATTTTTTTATAATAGTCCAGTACATTTGTGTCTGTATTACTGTGATTATATAAACATATAATCTATGATTATTTTTCTTTTCCTGCCTAACTTTTTCTTAATTAGTGCTCACCCTTTTTTTTTCTTTTTTTTTTTTTTTCCAGTTGCATAGTTTTCTATGTACTCATCACAAATTCCAACCCAAGCTCTCTGGGGCTGTCTAAATCTCTCAAGACGTTCAGATGCACCAAGTGGTCTATTCATTTCATCTTATTGAGGAGGTCCCTTGGACTTGCTCCCATCTGTACTTGGCCCTCTGCACCTGGCTCCCAGCCGCCACCCTGGAATCTCTCCCCCTCCATCATCCTGGTGGATCCCTTTTGCCTCTGTCCTCCTGTAGAAGCTCATGTTTCCTGTATCTCATGTCTTCCTCTGTCTTGGGTTATTCTTTTGTATCGGTGGAGCATGTGTTCTACCAGCTTCCTGAAAAAGGGTGTGTTGGGAAATAAACTTTTGAGAGCTTTTATTCAACATTCACACTTCATTCAAAGTTTGGCTGAGCAAAGTATTCTAGATTATAAATAATTTCTAAAAGACACTGAAAGCCTTTTCACTGCCTTATTTTTCACCTCCCAGCATTGTTCCCAAGAAGTCTGAAGTCGTTCCAACTGCTGATCCTTCTTCTGAAAGCTTACAGACAGTCCTCTTTCTCATCCACTCTGTGGGTACTTGGTGGTCCTTTCCATTTAGAAACTTGTACCCTCTGCTTCTGAGAAATTTTCTTAAATTCTATGTCACTGATGATTTCCTTCCTTTTATATCCTCTGTTCTCTGTAGAACCCGTTAGTTGGATGTCAGACCTTCTAAATGGGTGCTCTATTACTTGTATCTTTCTTTTTCTATTTTCCTTCTCTCTGGATTTTTGCTCTGCTTTCTAGGATATTTCAAGTTTTCTTCCTATAATTCTATTGAAATTTTCATTTATGCTCCTTGTTTTTAATTTCTAAAAGCAATTTTTTTTGGTTTCATAAACTTCGTGTCATTGTGGCTATGAAAGAAAAAGATATCTTCTCTCATGTCTTTGAGACTATTAATGAAGTTTTCTTCTTTCTGCATAGCTTTTGTTTCCAATTAGATTTTTTTTTTTAACTTTATTATTATTTTATATAGAGATGGGGTCTCACTATGTTGCCCAGGCTGGTCTCAAACTCCTGGGCTTAAGCGATCCTCCTGCTTTGGCCTCCCAAAGTTCTGGGATTAAATGTGTGAGCCACCACACCCGGCCTAGTTAGGTTGTTTTAAAATGTTGGTTTGTTTTGCTACTGTCTTTCCTATTATAGGCATTCCTTACACATCTAAGAATCTGTGGCTGTCTGCTTGTATTTAAGATACTTAAACTGCTGATTAGAGCTCTGAGTGCACAGCAGGACTTGGGGATCCCGGGCTTCACTGTGGGCTGATCTGGATCTGCTGAGGAACCTCCAACTCTAGTCTCCTAGGTTTTCCTATCCAGGCAGGTCCAATTTCCAGAAAACAGTTTTTCTCTCTCTTGACAAAGGCCTGGCTGCCAGCATTCTAGGGGCAGAGTGGAGAGGCAGCTGGAGGGCTCAACACCCAGTTTGCCAGGATCCACTCACCCCCCGTTTTGTTTTGAGACAGGGTCTCACTCTTGCCCAGGCTGGAGTGCAGTGGTGTGATTGTGACTCATTGCAGCCTCGACCTCCCTGGGCTCAGGTGATCCTCCCACTTCAGCCTCCCAATAGCTGGGACTACAGGTGTACACTACCATGCTTGGTTAATTTTTGTATTTCTTGTAGAGACAGGGCTTTACCATATTGCCCAGGCTGGTTAGCCTGTTTTTAGTACTGGCCGTTAGCTGTGCCTGGGTCTCTCTTGTCCAGAGATTCTTTGTTTTTACCTTTCCAGGGACAGTCATCTGCCTGCCTTTGGCCAGGTTGTAGTAACGTAGTTCTGGCTGTGTGGTATAACGGAGGGGATCTGCCTACCTTGAGGGCAGACTTTCTACCAATCCTCTTCATTTTAGCCTACCACCTCAACTTCTAGAGAGACCTGGCACTGCTAATTTCTGAACCCCTTGGGGGATAATACCACAGTATAAATTGGTTGATTCTCAGCTTTTCTTTCTGCTAGTTCAGGATTCTGATATCCTGGGTCTACTAAGTCATTTAATATTCACTATGTGTTTCCAGCTTCTAAAATTTTGTTGCTGCTGCTCTCTTCCCAATCTCCAAATACTTACAGATTTATGCCTTTTTAAAATTTTTTAATTTTTATTTTATTTTATTTATTTATTTTATTGAGACGGAGTCTCACTCTGTCGCCCAGGCTGGAGTGCAGTGGCGCAATCTCGCCTCACTGCAACCTCCGTCTCCTGGGTTCACGCCATTCTCCTGCCTCAGCCTCCCAAGTAGCTGGGACTACAGGCGGCTGGCTAATTTTTTTTTTTTTTTTTTTTTTTTTTTTTTTTTTTTTTGAGACGGAGTCTCACGCTGTTGCCCAGGCTGGAGTGCAGTGGCGCGATCTCGGCTCACTGCAAGCTCCGCCTCCCGGGTTCCCGCCATTCTCCTGCCTCAGCCTCCTGAGTAGCTGGGACTACAGGCGCCCGCCACCGCGCCCGGCTAATTTTTTGTATTTTTAGTAGAGACGGGGTTTCACTGTGGTCTCGATCTCCTGACCTTGTGATCCGCCCGCCTCGGCCTCCCAAAGTGCTGGGATTACAGGCTTGAGCCACCGCGCCCGGCCCGGCTGGCTAATTTTTTGTAATTTTAGTGGAGACAGGGTTTCACCGTGTTAGCCAGGATGGTCTCGATTTCCTGACCTTGTGATCTGCCCACCTTGGCCTCCCAAAGTGCTGGGATTACAGGCAAGAGCCACCGCACCTGGCCTTATTTTTTATTTTGTAGATGGAGTCTCACTCTCACCCAGAGTGCAGTGCAGTGGAACAATCTTGGCTTACTGCAACCTCTGCCTCCTGGGTTCAAGCAATTCTCCTGCTTCAGCTTCTGGAGCAGCTGGGACTACAGGTGCATGCCACCATGTCTGGCTAATTTTTGTTTTGTAGTAGAGACGGGGTTTTACCATGTTGGCCAGGATCAGGTGATCCACCCGCCCTGGTCTCCCAAAGTGCTGGGATTACAGGCGTGAGCCATTGTGCCCGGCCAGATTTATGCCTTTTAAATACATGTTTATAATTACTTGATGGGGTTTTCAGAGGAAGCAAAAGTAGGTGTTCAATCCTCCATCTTTACCTGGAAATCTGAGAATCAGAATTTATTCCCATAATCACAGAAAAACAAAACAAAGAACACTCTTCAAATTAACATTTATTGAACACCAGGTGTTTTCCCTTCTGTTACCTTAATTTTGACAACCACCATGAAAGGTAAAGTTGATTATCACCATTTTACAGATTAAAAAAACCCTGAAGCTCAGACACTCATTCAAGCAAGCATCTGTGGACCTGGGAAGCAAATTGCTCTGCTGCTTCCAAGTCTGGTTCTTTTAGCGCAAGACAGCTGCTTCATCCTATTCTAGAGCTGCAGCCAGGCTGCCATGGCAGAGGCCATGACCTCGCAGCAGCTCAGGCCCTTGAATGGTCTCCATCAAATGTATGAATGTGCCATATGTGATGAGAGAAACCAAGTGGACAGAGTAGCTGGCAACTGGCAGGCCCCAGAGGCCTCGTTAGTCTGCTCTTCTGCTGGATGAACTCCCCTGGGTCAGGTGGGGGGACTGTTCAGCAGACAGGTACCTCCTTGGCTCTCTCCTCCCCAGAGATGACCCTGGGGTGGAGAGAAGCATAGCTGGGGAACCAGTAGAAACTTCAGGGACAAATAAAATATAAAAAATTAAGAGAGACAGACTGAAAATAGATTAGTGGTTACTTAGGGCTGGAAGGACTGCTTGAGCCCAGGAAGTCAAGGCTGCAGTGAGCTGAGATCGCGCCACTGTACTGCAGCCTGGGTGACAAAGCAAAACTCTGGGCGGTGGCTCATGCCTTTAATCCCAGCACTTTGGGAAGCCGAGACAGGTGGATCACCTGAGGTCGGGAGTTTGAGATCAGCCTGACCAACATGGAGAAACACCGTCTCTACTAAAATTACAAAATTAACCAGGCATGGTGGTGCATGCCTGTAATCCCACCTACTTAGGAGGATGAGGCAGAAGAATCGCTTGAACCCGGGAGGCGTAGGGTGCGGTGAGCCGAGATTGTGCCATTGCACTCCAGCCTGGGCAACAAGAGTGAGACTCTGTCTCAAAAAAAAAAAAAAAAAAAAAGCGAGACTCTGTCTCGCTCTCTATATCTATATATATATCAGACAGAAACATCGTAATGCTAATAAGGCTGATCTATACAAGCATGAGATGGTCTCTGAGTCATCTTTCTTGCCTATTCAGAAAAATCTGGGACCTTGATTTGCTCTAACCAAAGTTTTTCACCAGGGAATCAGAGAGCCTTGGTAGACATACTGTCTAGGGGTGGCGGGGGGTGGGAATGTATCAGATTAAAAATTACACTGTCTCGAGGATGGCACCAAGAAGGCAAATGACGATAATTAACATTGATGATGAGGATTAAACAACCAACCAAGGGCACTATGAGTTCCTTAGAGAACAGACACATGAGGGCCGGGCGCGGTGGCTCAAGCCTGTAATCCCAGCACTTTGGGAGGCTGAGACGGGCGGATCACGAGGTCAGGAGATGGACACCATCCTGGCTAACACGGTGAAACCCCGTCTCTACTTAAAATACAAAAAAATTAGCTGGGCGAGGTGGCGGCGCCTGTAGTCCCAGCTACTCGGGAGGCTGAGGCAGGAGAATGGCGCAAACCCAGGAGGCGGAGCTTGCAGTGAGCGGAGATCGTGCCACTGCACTCCAGCCTGGGTGACAGAGCGAGACTCCGTCTCAAAAAAAAAAAAAAAAAAAAAAAGAGAACAGACACATGAGATAGGGAATAAAGAAGAAAAAGAAAATATAGCAATAAAATAAAGGATTTTATATTCTAAGTTCAAATTTCCTATTTTTACATTGGCTTGTTGGAGTAGCTGCAAAAATTCCCACTTTCCCTTAATAATTCTTCTTCCCTTTTAAAAAATATCCATAAAATAAGGATACTGAGCATTTCTAGGCAAGTGAAAGTTCTTCACAAACACAGTCCATTGCATCCAGTGCTGAACAACATAGGGGTGGATGGCCTGATCTCAGCAGAAAGAAGCGCCCGCACTCCTGTCTGAGACCTGGAGAAGCAGGCTCTGGGGCTGCCAGAAACTGCTGTGTGAGTTCCTTGGGAAGTCTGTCCCCCAGCCCCCAACCTCCCCAAAGGAAGGTGCCTGGGACCTGGCCCCAGCCTCTGGGAACTTACTTGACGAGCCTCAGCGTGTCCTTTCGGATATTGACCAGGCTTCTCAGAGTCTTCACAGGTTCTTGGGGAGGTGGGGCGGCGTAAGGGAACTGTGTCAGAAACAAAGTAGGAGAAGGTGGTGTGTTTATAAAGACCCACAGCTGTCCCTCGCTGTTACAGGGCTTTACAGTTCACCAAGAATAGCCCTAAGAGATGAGGCAGGAAGGCACAACTCTCCTAATTAAGTGAGGAAACTGAAATTCTGACATACTGAGTCAACCTGCTCAAGGTTACAGCTAGTGGGAAAATGGGATTCAATTTGGGGCCCAAAGAGCTAGATTTATCTTCTTTTTCCATTATATGAAGCTTATTTGGGTCAGTGTTCAAAACTTGGAGAATTAAAAAACCACTGAAGTTCCAAATACCAAAGGACACACTGTGGCCGAGTTAATCACAAAAGGCTTTTCCATCTGACCTCAGACGACAGGGAGTCAGACCTGCAAGCCCTTTCCTTCGGTGAGGCCATATGGTATCCCAGGAATTTAGGGACTGCAAATAAAAGAGAACCCCATCATGTGTACAGAGCTGAAGTTTGCAAACAGTAAAGAAAAAATTTCCCCTGCAGCTGATCATATAAAGCAGAGTTAGCACATGAGCCAAAAGTTATTTTGGGGTCACCAAAGGTTTATGATTGTCTTCATCATTTACCATCCACTTTCTTCTGCTTTGCCCGTTTAGACTTTTGGATATGAAGTTCTGAGTTGTTGATAATAAAGAGATAAACAAAGGGGAAACAGCCAAAAATTTCACTGGGAATTGCCTTCTGAGGATCAAGAATGATTTCAAATGTTCCCAGTATTTTTAAAATGTTATTTGGGCAATCAAATGTTTTAACATATAATTCCCAAAAAACCTACTGGTCTCTGCAGCTTTGCAAAACTGTGGTTCTCTTGGCTCAAGAAAAGTCTACCTCCATAGTGTGGTATCACAAAACAGGACACCCAAGTTATAATCGAATTGTGCCTTCACAGGTTTTTACTGAATATGGTTATTTTACTTGGGAAACAATATAGTTAAACCATAGTCAAGGTGCATCTGACTTTATGTATGCAGTATGATTGCTTATAATTCACATGTATGAATGTGACTCTTATACTCAATAGAAATTATTTGCATTCAGATTACCTACTTTGTGGGCATTATTTAGTAATTTACCTTTTCGTTGATATATTAACCATACATTCTTTAAAAAATGATAGTTTTTTCTAATTACAAAGTAATACATGTTTAAGCAGAAAATTTGAAAAACACAAAAAAGTATAAAACTATCCCTAATCTTACTATTCAGCAACACCAAAATTAACACTTTGGAATATGTATCTCCATCCGTCCATCTATCCATCCATCCATCCACCTCTATATCCATGTGTTGTTTCAAACTGAGCATACTATTTTGCAGTTTCTTTTTCACATAAAAAGATGTGGCAAACATTTTTAAAGTCTATAATTTTGATAACATGTGCAGATAACAGCATACTTTAATCAATTCCATATTATTCAATACTTTATGTTGGTTTTACTTTTTTCGCAGCTATAAATGCCATGGTGAATATCCTTGTCTCTATATTTCTGCATGCTTGTTTGATTATTTCCTTAGGACAAATTCCTAGAAGTGGAATTACTGGATCAAAGAGTAAGCATATTTTTAAGACTTTAAAAATTATTTTGCCAAATTGTTTTCCACAAAGCTGACTCCAACTTTGCCCTCCTGCAAGCAGTGCATCAGGAGGCCTTGACATGGGAAAACTGAAATTCTAGTTCAGATCCCATCTGTGGCCTGTTTCTCCTCCCCCAACTTTCCTAGGCTGTCATACTAAAGGAATTTAAAACAATTTTTAAATAAGCTTAAGCAAAAAGTAATTAGGCAGGAAAATCCGACACAAACACTAGTCTATTCTAAAGCCAAAATAAATGACTTCGGGATTAAAATTTTTTTCTGGAGTAGCAAAGTTAATCATTTTCATTTGTACAGGTACTTGGGCGTTATCCATAACTCCTACCTGCATTTCAAATAAAAGATGCATCTTTTCCCTTATTCTTTACTCTTTCTCCTCCATAGCCACCCCCTGCCACAAAAGAGAGAAAAATAAAAAGAAAGAAAAAAAATCCTGGCACTCTTCATCCTCCATTTTGAATATTATATTTGATAACTGTGGCAATGAAACATAAGCTATCTGGCTCTTAAGGAAAGGTATCAATGAGTTCAACTGTTAATAAACCCACCCCTACACTTTAGGCTCTCCCTATACACACACATACCCGCACAAGACAACAACGATAAATCTGTTCAGGAGAACCTTGTTCGTGGGCTGCTACCTACCAAAGTTTGTGCCTTGCTGGCCTTTCATTCATGCAATCAGAGTCTACATGCAATACTCTATGCTAGGAATAAGGAGAGACTGAAAACCAAGAAGATAAGGCCCTGCCCTTTCAGGAAGCTGCATTATAAGGCAGCTGACATAGTAATTGTAATATTAAAGAGATTAAACATATTAGTATTTTTTGCCACAAAAGGCAAAAATAAAGGAAGTGATCATTTCTGGCTGAGGTAATCTGAAGGCTTCATGGAGGAGGTGGTAGTTGATCTGGGATCTTAAAGGATAAATGAAATCTGCAAATTCAGAGATGACAGAGAATATAGAGGGGACAGTAGGATCAGAGGCAAATTGAAGAAAATATTTTTCTGCTCTTAGAGTTGTCTCCCATTCTTCTGTAAATCGATTTTGCCTACCATTATTCTCTAAATTTCTTAGTTATCTTCCTTTCAAAAATTACCATTTATTGAGTGCTTACTATTGATGACAGTGGTGGGCCGTCTGGAGCAGCTGCTGTCATCACAACGGCCGCTGCAGGGAGGTCGCAGGGAGCAGACCAACGGCCCCTCCACAGCTTGCCACCCTGGAGGCCACCCCATGGGGCTGGCCGGGTTGCCTGCCAGCAGAGGAGCAGTGTGGCAGAAAAGCAGCACGATAGGGCAGAGAGGAGTCCCGAGAAGGAGCTGGGCCTTGGGCAGTGCTCCGCTTGCACATGGAGCACCAAGGCCAGGCCTTGGCGCAGAGCTGGGGCCGTGCTTCAGGGGCCCCAGACAGGAAGTGGGAGCAGCTTCCACTTTGGGCACCTGGCCATTGGCGCAGCCATTGTGCCCACTCTGCCGAGGGTGCCAGATTCCTGTGCCTCAGGAGGCGGCTCTGTGCAGCCTTTCCGGGGCTGTGTCCCCAGGTCTGCCCCACACTGGAGTGACCACTGAGCCTGACACTCCTGGCCAGATGACCCAGCCAAGGCCCAGGCCCAGGATCCACTCTGCCCCTGGCTACCCCTGAAGCGCCGGGGCAACAGGCAGAGCTCATGGCGATGTCACCCTGCCCCGGACACTGGCCCAGGCCCAGTGAGAACCTGGAGCCCCTGCCCTAGGCTGCAAGGGGGTGCTATAAGGGCTGCGTGCTCCATAGAGCTGGTGGAAGCCAGGAACAGGCAGCAGCCCCGCGTGGGGCTGCAGCCATCCAAGTCAGGGCTGTGGACCTGGGCCTCCATAAACTCTTGGAGACACGGAAAAGCACCCCCCTCTGCCCCCCCATCCCAGCAGGCTCAGAAGTGCCTGCTCCTGCCGCCTGGCTTCTGCCTGCTGTTGGTGCTGGCTCTGATCTTAGAGCAATATGGGGCCAAGCCCAGGTGTTGTCATAGTCAGGCTGGGAGTGCACATGCTCGGGGTAGTGCTGACAAGCCAGCCCCAGCCCCCTGCTGCCTCGGCCCCTTCCAGACTTTGGGCACTGATGAGCATGGGGGAAGGTGGGGGCGCTGAGGGCAGCTTAGTGCTGGCCTTCAGGGAGGGCGTGAAGGCTGGGGCCCTGGCTGCCAGTCCTGCCCACCGGAGTGGGAACTTGTGGTGCCTTTTCTAGGCCTGCCCATGGCTGCCCAGGGACCAGTCTACTTGTACTTCCTCCCTTCTGAGGCCCATTAACAGCCCCAGGCTCAGGCAGAACAGGGCAGAGGTTGGGACCATCAGCTGCAGAGAGGAGCAATCTACTCCAGTGCCCCCTCTCTGCTGACAGCTTCAGAGATGTCCATAAGACCAGCTGCAGAGAGGAGCTATGCACTCCAGGGCCTCCTCTCTGCTGAGAGCTGCAGAGAAGACAGGATGACCTTCCTGCAGAAAAGAGCTTTCCACTCCAGGGTCTCTATGCTAGGACACTTGTCAGGACACCCTGGTTGCGGAAAGGAGCTACCCACTGCGGGTATGAGCTGTTCTATCGCTCAATAAGGCTCCTCTTCATCTTGCTCACCCTACATTTGTCTGTGTACCTCATTCTTCCTGGTGGCAGGACGAGAATTTTGGACCCATGGAATGGTGGGACTAAAATTGCTGTAACACAAACAGAACTGAAACATGCTCCTTGCTTGTCATGTTGTGGGCAAAGAGGAAAGAAGAGCTGTGGCCCTTCGGGAACCCCAGACCTGGGAGCTGCCTAAGCCAGGGCTGTGACTTCCTCTTTATGGCCCTGTGGTTCCTGGCATCTCCAAGATTCCAGGTGCCACCACATTCCCTGGTGCCAACCAGGAGAGCTGCCTGCAGTACACCTGGTCCAGCCACAGCCTCGCAGACAGCTGGCACCCATGCTGGCACCTGGGGCTGCCAGCCCCACAGCAGCAGCTGGCATGTCTGACTGCACAGTGGCCGGACCCTACTCTCGCTCACACACCACTTCCTGTTCCATGCCTGATTTGCAGTCTCCCTTGGAGGCGTGGGATATAGGCTGGTAGTGTGAGCTGAGTGCAGTCTGTCAGGCCAAGTGGGTGGAAAAAGTCCAATGTGCCTGAGCCGAACCTGTGCAAGGCACCACTGGCCACAGGTTTCCAGCCAGAAAAGTGACACCCCAAAGATCCCATAATACTATATGCCAGGCACTATGCTGAGCTCTTTATTTATATTATCTTACTTAATCTCTGGAGGAATCCTGTGAAATAGGCATGGTTGTTCCCATTTTTGCAGGTAAGAAAATAGAGGTTGCAAAGAGGTTGAATAAATTCTCTAAAGTCCCCCAAATTTTAGGGA